TGACACTCGCTGTCTGGTTTGTTTAGGCCTGCTCCACACTACGACGAAAAAGTTTGACGCATGCGTTGATTCGTGCGAATGTATATGCATACTATACGCGTTTTTCCACAGTTTATTAACCGCGTTTTCATTCACGATTTAAGATGGAACCCAGCAAGTTAACAGCTGTCGTGGCACTGATGAAGGAGGTGGTGGAGGAAGAAGAAACAGAGGAAGAACTTCTGACAAGTGTAATCTCTTTGCACTACAATAGTGGTATCTCAGAGAGGAGATATGGATATCCAGATATTATTAATGACGTCAATATCTCGATAATCCTTACTCCTCTTGTCATAAAGAGCAGGGTTTTTCTGTTTATGAGATGTTCAACATCTATTGTTGTCAGGCGTGATTTCTTCACACTCGTGATGTCTGAAAACATAACACTATCAACTATATATTCATTCACTAAGTGTATCAAATGAAATGCGCTAATACCAATGGAAGAAACTTAGAGAAAGAGAGTACGTACCTGATTGCAGCCACGAGGTGGGGAAACACCCTTGAGCACGTGTAAATATACGTCATCAAAAGGAATTCCCATGCGTTTTCAAATGCGACGCGTCAGAAATAGATGCAGGACCTATTTTCATCGCATCACATCGCAACGCATTTACAATTCGGACGTAATGTGAATGACATATGATAAAATAACTTAATGCGGTTTTTTGGAGGCAAAGCAAGAAAAATCGGATGTAGTGTGAAGCCCCCCCTTATCGAACACTTCCACCATTAGCTTCACGATGGCGTATGCATCAAACAGCGCACACTGTCAACACATCCTTCTGTTCATATATAATATCACGCACGAAGCACCCAGAAAATCCTGCGCTGTGTGTCCAGCCACGTGTGGCAGTTGTCAGTATCTGTTAGTGAGTTTGGTTTTACGCTGCTTTTGGCAATATTCCATCAATATCGCGGCTGGGGACACAATAAATGGGCTTCACACATTGTACCCATGTGGTATCACTATGGACTGCAAACGGTGATTGAAACAAAAAGCCTCAAGGCTGCTGTCAGGACCAACTGACTTTACAAACTTATGGCCCCGACTGACCTCTTAAGGTCCTCATCCAAAAGCAAAAGATTTGTAGCTTGTAACAATTAAATCGACAGGTCAGTTTACTGAAGGCGAATATGACCCTTGTAAACTAGAACCCACGGGCCCGACACTGCAACCTGCTAAGGGCCAACGGGCAGGTACTTATTTGGAACACTGACTGTGAATCGGAGACAGACAGACAGTTTTATTTCAGTATATAAGGCCATGGCCCACATTACAGAATAATTTTACATTTTGTTTGATGCTGGTAAAACCAGTAATAATCATACATTATTGCCTTTGAAAGCTATGGAACCATTTTTGCACAATGTACAGGCATAATATACCCTTCTAAAGAAAAAAGTAGCAAAACGTATCAAAACATCATCCTTAGATGACACAAGTTTAACAAAACTATCCTTACACGTGTTACCAATATATAGGTATGGTGGAAAACATTCTATCTTATGCATCTTTTAAACATTGACAGTTAAATGGCATTCCTCATCAACTACTGGTATAGCAATATAAACAGTCTATTACAGTACAGTGTATTATGCCTCCCTGTTACAGTTGGAGGTTGGAAGCTATTATATCTGGACTAGCTTAAAACATGTTTATAATACTGTAGAATATATCTAAGGAAATATATCTTTCAATTTGCACAAGTGTCATAAAGTGACAGTATGTTGTAACAATCATACAATTTTGCTTTATAAAGTGTCTGACATATTTGCACAGTGTATAGGCATAACATATCTAAGAAATAACATATAGATCTTAATGTGTAGAATATTGACTGAAATTTATGCATTTCTAATTTTACGAGCCTTCATCAGAAACTTTGCAATACTTGTCAAAACATTTTCATCCTTACATGACATAAGTCTTGCAAAACTTTCCCTACCCGGGTTTTTAATATAGGTATGGTGGAAACATTCAATTCTTGCATCTTTATAGCGTTGACAAACCATCAACTAATGACATGCCTTTGCTATGACAATATAAACAAATTCTATCACAGTACAGTGTTTATTATTATTCCTCCCTGTTTCAATTGCAAGTTTGAAGTTATTACATCTGAACTTGCTTAAAACATGTTTGTAACACCATGGAATGTCTAAGGACAGATATCTTTCAACTTGCAAAATTGTCTTAAATTGACAGTATGTCTGACATTTGCTCATAAGTGAAACAGTATGATGCCAATCTTGGTTCAAACAATCAGACAATCTCTGCTTAAAAAGTGAGATAAACATTTTTACATTTCCTATGTCTTGACTTATCCATAAAATACCAAAACCATATTGAAATAAAATGTTTCTGATATGCGATGCCCATGTCATTCTCCGTACATCATCAAGTGTCTTAAGCATACAATAAGCTTGATAAGGTATTCTATTGTTATCCATCATAATCAATTAACACCAAATATTTAACCGATTTTAACATGTAATTATACTGAAGGGGAACTCTGCCACATTCACCCAATGCCATAACATTACATGTATATTTATTCAGCCTCAATACCCTCTTGCATAACTGTGTTTGTACTCTTTCATAATTTGTGAATAATGAACACCCCATACCTCTGCTCCATAAGTAACTATAGGTAAAATGCAACCTGCTAAGGGCCAACGGGCAGGTACTTATTTGGAACACTGACTGTGAATCGGAGACTGGTCAATTAACAATTGGTTGACAGCACGTCGAATAAAAATTGCAAAATCGACCAGGTTACACATTGTGATCATCCGATTTGGGTATGTTGGTCACCTCTTAACACTTCGTGGAGGACACGGTTGACCTGTTACGCAATAATGTCAATGTCCCCCTTTCACTCAGGTACAGAGTCAATCTGAATGAACACTGAGCGCAGAGCCCCCTACCACAACATCTCAAGACATTTCATTTCAGGTAATTCCCGACCAGGCCATTGAGAGCATCGTAAATGTGTTTTCTATTAACACAACCTCAAAACGTCTAACACTGGGAATTCAGAACGACATTTCGAATTGTGCGGCTGATTCCGAATGCTGAATATCATCCTTTTTCTTGCTTCAACAGGATACTTATTTCCATGCCCCATAGAAGTACTGTCAGACAATCTCGAACATCTAGAAGACAATTATTTGTTTCGGTTCATTTTTCAATTTTGGATTCGATAACTTATGCTGAGAAACGTCACTGGCCAATTTCGACTTCCTGTTTAGGTCAAAGATCGCAAAAAGTTCGGAATTAGATCGTTGCGGTAGAGGGCATTGGGTTTTTTAATGAGATTTTGCAAACGTTTGTTTTGAAAGCTAATGGTGAAGGACTGTAACCTGCTTACACCTGTTATAGTACTATCTGTATTGATATGAGGCAACATCCATTAATCAGTATGGACACAGTGGGTTGCTTTTTTGCTTGTGACGCTAAGTAAACCACTGTTATGGCGGTAACGACGGGTCATGAATATTTAAACTACAAAGAATGTAAGTCTCCAGTCCACATTCCTGAATTCAATTGTGGATCATATATATTAAACATACACATCACACCATCACTGAGGAGCGTAGGTAAAAGTGTAATCCAGACACGCGCCGCTCTCATATTCACGACACCGGGACAAGCCATTTAACGGGAGAGCTGCACAGTCACTGCTTCAGCGATACATTCTGCGTCAGGCCTCAGTAGCTATCAGTCATATATGACTTCTGATGTTAGTGATAGCGGCAGTAGCTCAGACTGGGGAGCAGTGCTTATCCAGGTGTGAAGTTTATGTCTGACTACAACAACCCCCTACCGTAGTAGTCCGCATTCGCACCGCACAAATAATAAAAATAATAAATATTAGAAAGCAAAAACAATGATATGAATATAATCAATATATCTCGGATTACGCATGCTGCTGTATTAACCATAGTACACACGTCATAGAAACTATATAAACGCTGAACTCAATGGTATGGATGTCAGGTTTATAGCTGTTAATACAGTATGGAAACATGTTGAGAGGGCGACACTAACCATCATACGATACCGTCGCGAGTGTGGCTGTCGATTATCCAGGTCAAGGTTTCAACAAGGCTTCCCTCTCACCTGTGTGTTCTATTTAGGGGTATTGTGTCATGGTGTGTCGTCACTCAGGTTCAACATGGCTTGAGGAGGGAATCCATTCGAGTAAGGTCGGCTTCTGTTTTGATTTTGCTCACCTGTAAATAGTCACCCCTAGGATGCCTGCTATTGATCTGAGCTGCAACAACATCCCACCAAGGTGACAGGTAGGTAGTTACTCACCATTACATTGCGTGCAGATGTTGCCTCTGTGTGTGTAAATATGTTTGACTCATGTTGTGGTCGTTGGAGAAATACACCGCTCATTAGAAACATAATGGCGAGGCATCATTGGTAGACAGAGTTGTTCTACCCTAGGGGTGGGCGTGAGGGTAGCAGAGAGTCTTGACCCACTCACATCTTTTCTTAAGGTAGATATTTACCTGTCTATCCGCCCCATGTAATGATTATATTTATACAATTACTCCGGTAAGTGTTGCTATAATTTCACACTATTAACGATCATGTTAATATTTTGTGTTTGTTAACATTTATGGCGTTGACTAAACTTTGACATACTTCCCGTTTCGAAACCCACGAAGTGTGTTTGTAGTAAGAGCTTTTGTACGACCATTCAATCCTATGTGAACCGGTGAACTGTAATATCAAGGTACATAGTTTTTAGACGGTCACAACTACAAAGACACGATGAGTCATATCCTGTTTGTAAGTGGGCGACAGTATACCCAGCCTGGGAGGGCAGATTCTCTGACAACCACGTGTAAACTCGGGAAAGGATATGCATAATATCAAGGTCGCAGCTAGAGGCTTTACCTCAGCTAACAGTGACGTTAACAAATATTATTGGCGTGAAGTTATGACTTTACATGTCAGCTTAGGCAACGTAAACCCTGTACCTCGTCATGAAATGAGGTGATCGATATCGGAAAGTAATAACTGGAGTATTTGGTGGCTTCCCAACCCGGTAAGTGTAAATGAGTAGAAGTGTTCAACTTGATCACTATTGATATTTGCCCACTTAACAATTAAATGCATTCACTGCAAACTGCAGATTTACCTATATTGTAACGTTAGAAAGAATGATGGATGGATGGATGATAACTGGCAAGGTGATGGATAGACAACCGAAACTATAGTAGAGAAAGGCATTGCGAACATTTCAATGTTATGAGAATGTGATACATTTCCATTGCTAATATATATATTCAGTTTCATTCTTAAACGTGAGTATCGTTCACACACAATACATGGAATTAATGTTCAGTTTCATTTGGTGTATGAATATCCGTAAAGCGCCTTGGTAGTATCAATAGTAGAGTTAATGTCCTCATTTGACAAATGCCCTTAAAGTGATTTATCTGATTAGTGAGTGCCATATTACTTCAGACACCTAAGAAGATCAATTTGAAATACATTTAGAAGTACATGTTTTTTAGTTCTTTACTTAAATGAACATATTAATACATTTTAATCCCTTTTCAATACTTTGACCTCTGCACACGTGAGTAAACCCACCATCGAAAAACGTACTCAACTTTTGAAAAGCATTATTATTCACCATTTGCATCAAGTTTCTTGAACAGTTTATAACAGTAATAAAGGCATATGCCTGCTGTTTAAATGCTCTAACGCGACCAAAACACAATGGATATAGAATCATTCCACTCCAAAATACCCAAAGTCACTTTTACCCATAACGCATGTGCTTTTTCAGCGACGCCATAAAACGTCATTGCCAAACTTTGAGAACCGTACACAAATATGTGCAGTTTTACAGTCAAACGAGGTGGCATTTTGAGTTTTTTTAACAAGGCTATAGTAAGGCCCCAGTAAATCTTTTGAAACTTTTATGGTAGACATGTAGAGCATATTCCACATTTCACAGATCAGAAAAACAGTATGAGATGAGATTCCCTATTTTGACCTGTACCATATGTTTATTTTCATGTGAACAATTGCCTTTCCTTTACATGGGTTTGTGACGGATCTACCATCGGAAGGGCAGGATCCGCTAACATTTGCACGAACACCCGGTGTCGTCACTCATCGATGGTGAATGGTCATAGTGGGAATCGTAGAATCAACTCTGCTTTCGGCAGAGATGTCTTAGGAATATGGAAAGTGTTTGCCGCTTTTAGTTATGTAAATTACCAGCGAGGCCTCATTTACAAGCAATGATTTCAATACAAATGTTTCTGCCAACCATCAACAGTATAATCGATAAGAGCAATGCACTCAGCAAATAACATCATATCTTCAAATTCTTGTCACACGAACATTCCACCTTACATTCTCTTTTGACAGTTCATGTAAGCTCGTTTCTACAGAACATATATAAGAGTGAGGCAAATCATATTTCACACAAGTGAAGGAAAACAGTTTTCACACAAATTTCAACACCTGATTACATACTTTAAAGTACATAAGAAACATTTTGTTCCGTCAATAAATACAAGATTCAAGATAGATTTCTATATTACGGTTTGAAAAACTCGTGGTCCAGGCTTCAATGCATTTTGTATTATTTTTGGGACCCTTCCACTATTAATGTCCATTTATTCAATAATATGTGATGCAAAATGTGTTATAAACAGTTCTCTGTTATGAACCATTTGACATGCTGAAGGCAACACGACTAGTATACAACATCAGTTGGGTAAAGTGGAGTGTTATCACCATGACATGCTGAAGGTACACGACTAGTATACAACATCAGTTGGGTAAAGTGGAGGTTATCACCATGACATGCTGAAGGTACACGACTAGTATACAACATCAGTTGGGTAAAGTGGAGTGTTATCACCATGACATGCTGAAGGTACACGACTAATATACATCATCAGTAGGGTAAAGTGAGTTTTATTACAATGACATGCTGAAGGTACACGACTAGTATACAAGATCAGTTGGATAAAGTGGAGTGTTATCAACATGACATGCTGAAGGTACACGACTAGTATACAACATCAGTTGGGTAAAGTGGAGTGTTATCACCATGATATGCTGAAGGTACACGACTATTATACAACATCAGTTGGGTAAAGTGGAGTGTTATCACCATGACATGCTGAAGGTACACGACTAGTATACAACATCAGTTGGGTAAAGTGGAGTGTTATCACCATGACATGCTGAAGGTACACGACTAGTATACAACATCAGTTGGGTAAAGTGGAGTGTTATCACCATGACATGCTGAAGGTACACGACTAGTATACAACATCAGTTGGGTAAAGTGGAGTGTTATCACCATTACATGCTGAAGGTACACGACTAGTATACAACATCAGTTGGGTAAAGTGGAGTGTTATCACCATGACATGCTGAAGGTACGACACGACTAGTATACACCATGACATCAGTTGGGTTAAAGTGGAGTGGAGTTATCACCATTACATGCTGAAGGTACACGACTAGTATACAACATCAGTTGGGTAAAGTGGAGTGTTATCACCATAACATGCTGAAGGTACACGACTAGTATACACCATCAGTTGGGTAAAGTGGAGTGTTATCACCATAACATGCTGAAGGTACACGACTAGTATACAACATCAGTTGCGTAAAGTGGAGTGTTATCACCATGACATGCTGAAGGTACACGACTAGTATACAACATCAGTTCGGTAAAGTGGAGTGTTATCACCATGACATGCTGAAGGTACACGACTAGTATACAACATCAGTTGGGTAAAGTGGAGTGTTATCACCATGACATGCTGAAGGTACACGACTAGTATACAACATCAGTTGGGTAAAGTGGAGTGTTATCACCATGACATGCTGAAGGTACACGACTAGTATACAACATCAGTTGGGTAAAGTGGAGTGTTATCACCATGACATGCTGAAGGTACACGACTAGTATACAACATCAGTTGGGTAAAGTGGAGTGTTATCACCATGACATGCTGAAGGTACACGACTAGTATACAACATCAGTTGGGTAAAGTGGAGTGTTATCACCATGACATGCTGAAGGTACACGACTAGTATACAACATCAGTTGGGTAAAGTGGAGTGTTATCACCATGACATGCTGAAGGTACACGACTAGTATACAACATCAGTTGGGTAAAGTGGAGTGTTATCACCATGACATGCTGAAGGTACACGACTAGTATACAACATCAGTTGGGTAAAGTGGAGTGTTATCACCATGACATGCTGAAGGTACACGACTAGTATACAACATCAGTTGGGTAAAGTGGAGTGTTATCACCATGACATGCTGAAGGTACACGACTAGTATACAACATCAGTTGGGTAAAGTGGATACAACATCAGTTGTTATCACCATGACATGCTGAAGGTACACGACTAGTATACAACATCAGTTGGGTAAAGTGGAGTGTTATCACCATGACATGCTGAAGGTACACGACTAGTATACAACATCAGTTGGGTAAAGTGGAGTGTTATCACCATGACATGCTGAAGGTACACGACTAGTATACAACATCAGTTGGGTAAAGTGGAGTGTTATCACCATGACATGCTGAAGGTACACGACTAGTATACAACATCAGTTGGGTAAAGTGGAGTGTTATCACCATGACATGCTGAAGGTACACGACTAGTATACAACATCAGTTGGGTAAAGTGGAGTGTTATCACCATGACATGCTGAAGGTACACGACTAGTATACAACATCAGTTGGGTAAAGTGGAGTGTTATCACCATGACATGCTGAAGGTACACGACTAGTATACAACATCAGTTGGGTAAAGTGGAGTGTTATCACCATGACATGCTGAAGGTACACGACTAGTATACAACATCAGTTGGGTAAAGTGGAGTGTTATCACCATGACATGCTGAAGGTACACGACTAGTATACAACATCAGTTGGGTAAAGTGGAGTGTTATCACCATGACATGCTGAAGGTACGACGACATAGTAGTACAACATCAGTTAGGGTAAAGTGGAGTGTTATCACCATGACATGCTGAAGGTACACGACTAGTATACAACATCAGTTGGGTAAAGTGGAGTGTTATCACCATGACATGCTGAAGGTACACGACTAGTATACAACATCAGTTGGGTAAAGTGGAGTGTTATCACCATGACATGCTGAAGGTACACGACTAGACTAGTTATACAACATCAGTTAGTATACAACATCAGTTGGTAAAAGTGGAGTGTTATCACCATGACAAAGTGGAGTGTTATCACCATGACATGCTGAAGGTACACGACTAGTATACAACATCAGTTGGGTAAAGTGGAGTGTTATCACCATGACATGCTGAAGGTACACGACTAGTATACAACATCAGTTGGGTAAAGTGGAGTGTTATCACCATGACATGCTGAAGGTACACGACTAGTATACAACATCAGTTGGGTAAAGTGGAGTGTTATCACCATGACATGCTGAAGGTACACGACTAGTATACAACATCAGTTGGGTAAAGTGGAGTGTTATCACCATGACATGCTGAAGGTACACGACTAGTATACAACATCAGTTGGGTAAAGTGGAGTGTTATCACCATGACATGCTGAAGGTACACGACTAGTATACAACATCAGTTGGGTAAAGTGGAGTGTTATCACCATGACATGCTGAAGGTACACGACTAGTATACAACATCAGTTGGGTAAAGTGGAGGTTATCACCATGACATGCTGAAGGTACACGACTAGTAGTACAACATCAGTTATGTTAAGTGGAGTGTTATCACCATGACATGCTGAAGGTACACGACTAGTATACAACATCAGTTATGGTAAAGTGGAGTGTTATCACCATGACATGCTGAAGGTACACGACTAGTATACAACATCAGTTGGTTTAAAGTTATGGAGTGTTATCACCATACAACATGCTGAAGGTACACGACTAGTATACAACATCAGTTATGTTAAAGTGGAGTGTTATCACCATGACATGCTGAAGGTACACGACTAGTATACAACATCAGTTGGGTAAAGTGGAGGTTATCACCATGACATGCTGAAGGTACACGACTAGTATACAACATCAGTTATGTTAAGTGGAGTGTTATCACCATGACATGCTGAAGGTACACGACTAGTATACAACATCAGTTATGTTAAGTGGAGTGTTATCACCATGACATGCTGAAGGTACACGACTAGTATACAACATCAGTTATGTTAAGTGGAGTGGCACACGTTATCACATCATGACATGCTGAAGGTACACGACTAGTATACAACATCAGTTGGGTTAAAGTGGAGTGTTATCACCATGACATGCTGAAGGTACACGACTAGTATACAACATCAGTTATGTTAAAGTGGAGTGTTATCACCATGACATGCTGAAGGTACACGACTAGTATACAACATCAGTTATGTTAAAGTGGAGTGTTATCACCATGACATGCTGAAGGTACACGACTAGTATACAACATCAGTTGGGTAAAGTGGAGTGTTATCACCACGACTGAAGGTACGACAACATACACATCAGTTATGTTAAGTGGAGTGTTATCACCATGACATGCTGAAGGTACACGACTAGTATACAACATCAGTTATGTTAAGTGGAGTGTTATCACCATGGTGAAGGTACACGACTAGTAGACAACATCAGTTATGTTAAGAGGAGTGTTATCATTCTAAAGCATTCAGTGACTGCAGCAAGCGTACCTACACAAATATGGTTCTATTAATCAATATTTTGTAATGGTAAATAAAAATATTCTATCACAGGTTAGTCGAAGCTAAAATATATATTTCCGCAGTTGAAATATGACGACACGGAACAAGTCGGGTCATGGCGTCACGTCCAGTTATCCAGAGCACAGAAAAACATCTGACCACCATGTGGACAGGGGCAGTACCAGGGAAAGGGTGAGTGCCACATAGTACTTTTATACGCGGAATTGGTCCTGTTTCACGTGTACAAAAAGTGTGTATTAATATCGTGTTTGTCTTACTGATATTAATGGTACGAAATAGTTAATAGTATTGTTATTGTTGTCGTTCATCTCTTACGTTATTGTTCGTCTTCTTCTTATTCGTTTTACCGTTGATTTCAGTTTAATTTGATTGTTGTCCTTGACTCCTGTTCCGTAATCGTCACTATCATCGCTTTGTTCATTATATTGTTGAAGACCTACCTTAAATTGCGCATTCTAGACCTACATTGGCAAATGCGTCACAATAAAGATGATTTTGTAAAGAGTTCGGTTGTCCATATTTATTCTACAAATAAAATTCCATACTTGTACATCTTTCAGTCAGGGAGCCAGAAATTCAATGGCATACGTAACTGTCACAGCATAATCAGTCAGGCAGTGTCATCTGCATTCAAGGACAGTGTCTGCCAGAAAGATGACTGCAGCAGGCCCCGACACAGAACCACCTCTGTAAGTTGTCAAAACCATTCCCTCTTATGGCTTGCTCAGTTCAGTTCGGAGATATCGATAATTTACTTTGACACAGGAATTTATCCTCACGATTTCATTTCTCAATTAGCTGATTCTTGTAGCGAAGCCTGTGATTACAGCTGTTATATAACAGCATATTTACGATTACCTTAACCCCTAGTCGTGAAGGCAACGTATTCCTCTGTCCAGTTTATGTATCACCGCAAATCTAAAGAGCAGCGTTAGATCACAGGCTACTCAATCTTTGTAAGATAATGATGCAATTGGTTGCAGGAGAGTGATATCTCCAGAAAAATGCATGATCTCCAGGAAGAGATGAGGAAACAAAGCGAGGGGCAGGAAAACATTAAGCAGAGCCAGGATGAGCTGAAAAAGACAGTACTGGAACTGAAGGACTGTGTAACATCTCGATCGCAGAGTGTCGGTGACATCTTCTCTCAGGAGGACCCGAATTGCACATCAACACCAGCTGTCCGCAGGGTAATTTCTAGAATGGGTCTTTCCTTTACAATCAGATATGTGGTAATATTCAAATCCTCACACTAAAAACAAAGCCTCAGAAGTTTGCGATACTGTATTTGCATTTATACAACATTCAAACCATAAGACAGCTGATTCAGTTGGTGTACAGGTCCACGTCACTGTATTTCTCCGCTTCAGCTGTTCTCTCGCACCAGCAGCTCCACCAGTGTGCCTGCTTTCACTTTCACATCGGGGACAACCTCAGACTTCAGTGAGCTGTCGTCATGCAACTCTGGCTATACAAAGTCAATGGACATCTTGCGACAGAGGGACAATTTGGAGACATGTCTGTCAAGAGAGGTAACTTGACCTTTCCCCGCAATTACACAATTCAGGGATGTTAGGGAGTGTGCCTGCTTGTGTCTGTGACAGTGGAAATCAAAGCCTCACAATGTTCGGACGTCATAACTGAAAGCCACAATCCTTAAAAGCTTGTGATACAACACTAAGCTGATACAAAACTGTTGCAGAGGAACGATCATCTAATTATTAGGACGATACATAGTGTCCTGAATGAACAGACCACCGTTGTTCCAAACAAGAAAATGCTGAAGTATAACCAACATTTTATGTTAAAGTTAATAAATTAATTCAGGAGTAACTTGCCTAATTCAGTCATCTGTCACAGGGGTGAGGGCAATGGTTATAGGTATTGACATAAACGAATGTCTAGTCTACATGTGAATGTTCTCACATCACATAATGTTAATCTTCACACGCACAGATGCTGAGGAATGTCGAAACGCATCTTAGAGATGTTGAACTCAGAGACCAGCAACTTTCTGACGATATGTCCCAACTGATGGCGTGTGTTAAAGATCTCTGGCGTGTCAACACTCGGAATTCTGATCTCAGAACAACCCCCCTGCCTCCTCACATCCAAGCTTTTTGTATGAAACTGGAGGATATCATACGTACGGACGATGATATTTGATAACAACGTTCATTTTTTATGCTACGATATGATCCACCTAATTTATTGAACCCAAAGCAGTCGGACTGTGGGTGCCAAGTTGTATAATACACTATTATGTCTCTGCGTAGAATTGATCCATGGTTTCCCTTGATCGATTTCTTTGGTTTGCTGACACTAAATGTGTCCGAGGTACAAGAAGTTATCATTTCTGTGTCACAATGAGCTCTGCGTCAGCAGTGAGTGAGGACTGAGGGACACGAGAAATGAACTTTATACCCATGGTCTTAATCGAACAACGTCCATGCATCAGTGTTACTAGCGAACTCTTTCAACCACTGTCAATCCAACCAATCCTATACCCTGTTAAGGATCAAGAAATAGGATTATTGGTAAAGTAACGTTAATCTCCACCGATCAATTAACATCCTAAGACTTTTGAAACAATTGTACAATTTACTGAAATTAAAATTCCGCCTTTCCAGACGTCCGTGTGGCAGACCTGGCGAGATATCTTGACGTGTCGGACATGAGGATTCTACAGGGTAATAGCGCAACCAATCGGAGCCTGTTCTGGGGGGTAATACACCAGTGGAACAGGGAGTGTCAGGCTAGAGGTTCACCTGCTCTGCTAGAACAGCTCATAGATGCCTGTCAGAACTGTGGCATTCACAACCCCTTAAAAGGCAAGACGACGCATATTAGTTTCATGCAATATATCCATCATGCAATAGTCATGCAACAATTACCTACTCCATGTGAAGTCATTTCCCAAAGCATGATCAGTATTAGCTCTGAATAACTCTCAAGTGTTTGATATTAGCATTGTTGTCTGCCATACATACATGTGTACACACACATACAGTTACTGGCTCTTTTCGTTATAGTGGAGCCAATGCCAGTGCAACATCGACGGATTCTAGAGCAGAACTACTCGTACCTGGCCGAGCATGTGATGGTTCCTCTGCTGCTGACCTATCTGAGGGACAGTGGCTTCCTCACAAATGATCTTGTCCAGTATGTGCTGCAGCCCAAACCCAGGCCGGATAAAATCAACCGACTGGTGGACATCATGACGGTGTTTGGCAAAAAGTCACTTTCCCTTCTGCAAGATGCTCTCAGAAGATCAGATCAGGGTCACATTGCCGAAATGTTGGTCTGCAGGGATGAGGAAGCGCCTGAACAAGGTGGGCGAAACGTTTTAGTGCCTTTATCCGAGTGCTATACTAGAACCGGTTATTCTTCATAAAAACGGATGAGACCTTTGGGACTTTCATATTGTCAAATTAGGGGCGAAAAGTATGACGAAGGAATCTACTCTCTAATATCCATCATTGTACATACAGCAGTTACACAACAGATCCGTGTTCCATGTTAAATCATTGTAAATACCTGTCTCACCAAAATACAGTTCACAAGTGTCACCATCAGCGCTGAATAGCACTCACATTATGTGTTGAATACTTGTATTAAAAAAATGAGGGCCATGGTTTTGAGAGGCATCTCTCTACTATAGGAAACAAGCAAAGGTGCAACATTAAAGAGTAGTTAACCACGGTTTGACACCAGAAGAATACCATGAGAACCATGCAGGTTTTCTGCAGGTTATAACATAGTGACAGTAGACAACGGTGTAAGGATATTCAGTGTTAGGTAGTGTCTTCCTAGATTGCGTACAATGGTAATAACCATGCTTTTGTCTGTACATGTGTGTATGCATGTTGTGTGTTGTTCTCCAGACCAGGGGGCCTCAGCTCTACCTAGTGACACGGTACGCCTCCAAGAAAGTCTCAAGTGCCAGTTGAAGGAACTGAACATCTCGACAGACCAGCTCAGGAGGCAAAAGGAGGTGTGTCAGGTACCCTCGGGGAGGCTGTGGTCAGGTGAGACCTGAGTCTCCTTTATGTCAACAGCGTTCATTGGCTAGGGAAGTTAGGTCATCAGGACCTATGCACGGATACAGAGTAGCGTCAAAAGTAGTAACAGTACTTCTCTGTGACTTCTATGTGTGATCGTAAAAAAAATCAAAGCGATCTTAACTGTTTGCTGTTCCTAGTATTAGAAAATATTTGCCTGAAACTGACAGATCAAATACTGGTTTACTCGACGTGAGCTTACATGATATAAACATATTACTGATCAAAGTCCAGGTTTATGTGTTCATGCCATCATTGGGAACGCTGAAGGTCTGATGTGAAAAATTGAATTGTTAGGCATTCATATGTGTCAATGAAATACTAAATATTTTACAGTTTGTACAGTGCAATACCGATTGAACGTGTTTCAGGACTGTTTCTCAACCTAGCGGTGTCAGTGAAAATCCCCCACCATACAGAAAATAGTCTGAGGCTACTTTGGGAGGCTAACCAGCTTCGTGATATTAAACACGACCATATTGTACAGCTGATTGGTGTAAGCATGCAGCCTGACCCTCCATGGATCGTCACTGAGTCCGTCACTGAGAACCTGCTCAATCACATCCGGGGTATGCAAGAGAAGGAGGTCGGCGCTTCAATGATACTTGACATGACAATTCAGGTAACAGATATAGTGTGCGTGTTATCAGAGTGACTGGCTGAGTTAGAAGTCGAGCCACTGTGAATAATGCTCCAGTTATCTCGCTGGACAAACTGGGTCATTGTGGGAGGACAGGATCATGTGATACGGTCATGGACGTTTTATACTATTGTAAATCCCGCAAGACAGTTTACTAGAAGGGCTAGAGACATGACAAATTGTTGTAAGCAAGGGTTGGAATTGTTTTAATATATCATTTCGGACCAGGGAGACAATTGTATTCAAACGCAGGTATATGTATTTGTGGCATGCCAAAGGGAAGACATATATCATCTCGAATTTCAGAGCCATAGAAGTTGGTCCCATACTCGCAGCTAAAATGCATATAGCGGAAATAAGGTTTACGGAGTTGCGTCCCTTAGGTGCTGAACACCGGCTGTGACTGAATTCATTACATCCTTTCTGGTCGACTTATACGACAAGATTTAGACCAGGCAATCCAGTGACCACTACCATGAGCATCGATCTACGCAATTGGGATACGATGGAATGTGTCAGCCAAGTCAACGTACCAGACCCCTAGATGCCGTTAGTCTCCTCTTATGTTAGTTTAGTTTTAGCAATATCCCAACAGTATTACGGCTCTTACGGCAGGCATGGGTTGCTGAAGACCAGTTCTAACCCGGATTTTCACGGGTTATACGACAAGCATAAGCTGCTTAATGGGATGAATTCTACCTGTGAATTCCTATGGGTGCCTCTACAGTGGCATGCACAGTGGCGTCACAGAGTAATACTAAGTCAGTTACTCACCGAAAAGATGGATATGAGTTTATGTTACAATTCTGGCGTATCCTTCCCTTTCATCCATCCAAAAATGCTCAACATTCAAACCGAAGACGCTCAACTGAATTCAGTAGCAATAAGTGAGTACAAATTACTAGTGCAGCCCATCAAACTCCAACATTGAAGCTTGGGAACTTGTTTCCTGAATTAATTAAATTTTAATTTATTTTATATCCCGGCATGTCACATCTGTGAGATTCTTTGACAGTTTGTTTTGGAAAGCTCCGGTGATGTTAAACTGACCCCACAGAAGCACTGGTAAAAAGTATTAGTTACTCTGGTGGCAATCGATTGCAGCAATATATACAGTTGAATGTAATAAATAGGGAGTAGGGACACGCGAATGACACCCCCCCTATCTCTCTCTCTCTGTCTCTCTCTCTCCCTCTCACTCGGTCTCTGTCTCTCTCGTGGGTGTGTGTGTGCGTGTGTGTGTTGCCGTCGCCGTTACCTGTCTATGTAGCACCCTTAGCCTGTCCAACTTAATGACCCTACACGGTTGTGTTTCCATTCAGTACACCTGCAGCTATGTACAATGGACAAATATCTCTAAAAGCGTAATGTCCGGTGAATGAAAGAAGTAGGGCTATACTTTCATTTTCATTTGATGAATGAATATGTTATTGCAGCTGAGCAGCGCCATGGTTCACCTAGAGGAGAGGAACTGTATCCATGGTGATCTGAGAGCTGAGAACGTGCTGATGACTGACAATAGAACCCTCAAGGTGGCCAACTTCCATGGCACGATCCCTTCTGACAAGACGGATGAAAGTATGTTGGTTTAATGTGTTTTTTGTTGATCGTTTACAAACAGAATGAAAAACAAATAGACATTTGCAGACACTTTCAAAATATCATGTCCATGATTAATTCTAGTATTTCAAAAGTATTTTGACTGCAGTGATAACACAATATGATATTCTTTACCTACTCACTCTATTTATTCGCCACTATACATCAGTGGCTGACATCAGGGAATGGCGATTTCTCCAGGAATATCATTTAGAACCAATTCGTTACCAGGCTAATTGCGTGTCATTGTAACCAATCCAATTGTGACATACCCGTGAAGGTCCGGGTTAGAATACTGATCTCCAGTAACCCATGCTTGTCGTAAGAGGCGACTAACGGGGTCGGGTGGTCAGGCTCGCTGACTTGGTTCACACGTGTCATCGGTTCCCAAATGCGCAGATCGATGCTCATGCTGTTAATCACTGGATTGTCTGGTCCAGACTCGATTATTTACAGACCGCCTTATAGCTGGAATATTGCTGAGTACGGCGTAAAACTAAACTCGCTCACTCAATTGTTACAGTTTCTTGTAGTCCTCTAAGCAATCAACACATCAACGTAAGTGTAATGGTTCTCCTTTCAGTGGCTAACTACAGCAGATGGTCAGCCCCCGAGGTCCTCAACTCAGGGGTGAGGTCCACAAAGGCGGATGTTTGGGCCTATGGTATACTGCTGTGGGAACTCGTCACCCTCGGAATGGTTCCATATCCTGGTAATCTCAAGTCATTACTATACCATCAAACACCTGCTAGATTATAGCTCTGTATATTTAAGAAATGATAGCTGACAACAATTTCATTTAAAATAAAATTAATATTTACAGCCCTGTAATATTGAAGTTAACAAAATAGGTTTTAGAGTATCGAGTGTTTTCATCTCTGCAGATGATACAGTGGAACGTATGGCAGACAAGGTGCTTCATGGGTACGTCATGGCGATCCCCCGCCCACGATCTCAAGCCCCCTTTGTCGTATTTGACATTATGGAGAGGTGTTGGGAATATCATACTTCTGAAAGACCCAGCTTTAAAGACGTGCATACTGAGCTGACTACTTATTTGGAAAGACGAAACGTTGGACGAGAGGTAGGGAAACAGTTAGAAAACTTTCTACAAAATGTCACTTACAATTTTAGTGAACACAAAAACACACCTAACCCCTATGTCACCGCATCAATCTCAACATTCCGTGCGCCGTTAGGAATCTATTGCACAACACATGATATTACATGATTACTGCTCACATTGACAGAATTACATTAGGTATTCTACCTTGTTAAATTTGTTCAAACCATTTATACATATTAACATTCTCGACAAAATGGCAAGAACTGTACAAAATAGACCAAAAAGACCAAACAAATTCTTGTCCACTTCTCATATCCACCATAACAAATATATTTCCATTAATCGATGATATAGTCCTCCGAAAATCATGAAGTATTGTATTGCATATACCTAGTGAGCTGTAAATGGCTGATTAACAAATAGAGACAATTCCGGAATTCTTGTATAAGTTTTATTTATATGTACACATCTGAGAACTGAACCAGGCAGAATTTGTCATCTCAGTGAAACTAGTAACAGTGAACTGTACATAACATACTGAGTTTAACCAATGGGCATGTGGTATGTGTTCGAAGATGGCGATATATGTTATGTGTGACCGGCATGTCTCCACATTCCTACATTGTGATGACAAAGGGTGCTCAGGGTTTGAATGAAGTTTCTACTGGTTGTTTATCTGTATAGTCACGTTCACGCATCTGGCTTCCGTCAGTCTGTAATACAAACGACAACCAATGGAGCACTTAACAGCTATGTGCATGAATGAACGAACGAACGAACGAACGAATGAATGAATGAATGTGTCTATCTCAGCAGCCGCGCACACTGGACACAAACTTCGAGACTTAAGATGCATTTCAGGGGAACGCCATGAATGGTTTCATTATCATTGAAGGCATATCTAGTTGACTGACAGACTTTCACAGAGGTACCAAAATGGCATTTAATAACGCGCGAACAATACAGGTTTTAAAGCAGCATTTGTTCTTTACTTTATCATTCGTCAATAGTAACATGAAGCAACTCTTCATTCTAACCTGTGTCAGTCTTAATGAATTTTATATAGCTATATCTATAGCCGTTGATACATACCATCACGTATTCCTCTTCCAGTTCTCTACGCCGTAAGTACTTCCTCACGTAGAGAGGGTTAACACCATCCTTATTTCCACCTGCAGGATTTACATATTTGTGATAAAGTTGTTACCTGTACATTATATATATTGTTGGTATACTACACATAGTGTATTACATTGCTTCTTAACTTACAATAAAGTCACAGATATCTTATGCACTGAATTAAAACATATTTTGGGGGTTGGTTGGGGCTTGGTGAAGGTTTGGGATAACTAAAATGTGTAATTAAATACTGTGTGTTTCCTGGATTTATATACTCACCTTATGCGGCTTAGCCACTGTTTTTTCATCAAAGATAATGCAGCAGTTGATGAAAGATCGGTTTTATTCAGTGTGAAATAATGAAGATGGTATATTTTTAAGAGTTAATGTTTGTATTTAAATATTTGCTCTGTGAAAAGTGCTGGTACCTGTAGCAAGTGTCAGAAGTCAACTCTTCATATACTATATGACGTTTACCTGTGACCAGACTGAGGACAACCCCTACCACCAGTACGATGATGAATCCAAAACACTGGTACAGAGTGTAGGAGAGGCTGTAGAAGGCATCGAGACCCGACCTACATGCAGGAAGAAATGAAAGTGTAGATTATGGTATAACAATGAAATGGTCGTCTATAATGCACTACATTCCAGCCATATGTCACTATATCATTATTACTCCAGTCAGTGTATCAATGTACATTCGGGTTACATTCTCAGCTCCTCAGGGAGTATACAATCGAAGATTCTGAAGCGGTAGAAGGTCACATTACCATCTCATCCTCTCCTCGCAGGGGTCAAGCTTCCGTCCAATGGTTATCTGTAACCAAAGTTGTTGAACTGCATCTGTTCTGTGATCTGTGCGATGCACTGAGTAGTACCACCGAGATTTGAATGTGACGATTAGAACTACCTAAATACAAAATATATACGTTACCCAGTAAATTTCTGGAATGTGTGGTTTGTTGAGTTAGGGCTCATCACGGTGATGTTATAAGTCGCTGAATATGACATCGACATGTCAGCAATTGGGCAGTGATCTGTCGGGGCAGGGGGTAGAAGAGGCGTCTGTCTCACCCCGAGGAAACACTGGCACCGACCGCCAGCCACGTCAGAAAGCTGAGTCCAGTGAGTAATGCAAGAACAGCGCTCTGTTGAGAGAGGATGGTAGGAAACAGCTCATTATCCCATTGCAGAAATACTTAAACTATGTTTTGTGTTTTCTTTTATATGGTTGATAGTTTCTTGAGTTGTATAATGATTTTCTTCTAAAGTCAGTTATATGGATCTCGGATACTATGAACATGGCCTCGTGTTGTTGTTGTTGTTGTTTTGTTATTAGAAGCGATGAGCATGAAGAGAATCCAATCAACAGACGTCATACTCTTATCGCAAGATGTTATCGCTCATATTACTTCGTCTAACTCGATTCCTATCAGTTTGCTGTCCATCCCTCGAATATTCTTTTGACTTTATCATCAACATGTCATTCAACATTCATCAAGCAACATTATATATGTATCACTATACACTGTACTAAAACACCAATCGTTATGCACTTCAGTCTTACCTTAGTATCCACACCAGTCAGTACGTATATGCCGCCATATGTTGCCTTACAGTATAGTTTTTAACGTGGTGAATGTGCTAGAATCTACATCAACACGTAGTTTCAGTTGCAATAAAGAAATTGCCTACCTAGATAAATTTGTCATTGTGCTTTACACGTGATTTTTAATGCCACTCAAAACATGTGACACGCTTGGGAGCTTACAAAAACAACTCGGATGTCTTGAAGTGAGTAACTATTGAAAGGGTGAAATATTTAACAGTGTAGACCTATGAATACAGTTCTGTACATGTACTTGTACCTTTAACATAGCTACAATGAAAAGTTACACCCTGCTTGATAAGGTTACTTAAATGTTTATGAAGAGTTTAAGATCCACACTATTGCTTTCAATTAAATATAATTGATATATTTTAAAATGTCACATACTTAATATTTCTAATACATGAGTGTGGAGTTCAGCTGAATGTTTGAATATATAAGTATATATTTCGCCTATCCTGCTATATACTAATGAGCAGGAATATATATATCCACAATCTTGACCTACTCTTGTATTGACAAAGGGGAAGAGAGCCCCGAGGTAGAACAGCCCGGTTACTGGCCCAGCCGTCACTGAAGAGGCACTGTAATAAATCTGAAACAGAGTGAGAGAATGAGTGAGTTCAGTTTTACGCAGCTTTTAGCAATATTCCAGCAATATCACGGCGGGGGACACCAGAAAGGGGCTTCATACATTGTACCCATGTGGGGAATCGAACTCGGGCCTTTCGGCGTGACGAGAGAACGCTTAACTACTAGGCTACCCCACCGACCCTTTGAAACAGATCGTCGCAACATTGATCAGAGGCTTGTGCGAGAAAGGTGAAAGGTGATGGAAAGTCAGAAGTTACCCACCTTTGTGAAAGACATGGGCACAAACAAATAAGTAAATTCTCGAAAAACCAACAAATGTGAAATATTTATCAGTCAAACAAAATGGATGATTTATATGGTTTATATGGTGCTTTAGATGACAAAGACGTGTTCACCTGAAGGATTGACGTTGATCCTACTTGGGATACAACCAGGGCCAGACAACAGATTCAGGACTCCCCATGTCACAACTGAAGGAGAATGACTGATGAAAACATTGTACTGACATCTACACGTGGGATGTGTCCTTCTGTGTGTAGCAACAAACCTTCAAACTCCCCATTTCCTTATATATTGTGCACAGATGTACAAACCGTCCCACCCGCATTAAGTGAGTTGATATTTCTATACAGAAGGTAATAGGCTATTCGCCATATTATCTATATATCCTATCACATTTATCTATATATCAAAGTGTGATAAACAAATGTCAATTAATTATATGTCCAAAAGTATTTACGCTTATGTTTCTAAAGACCTAAAACCAGTTAAGCCACGCCCGCTCTCCTCAAATTTGTACATCAGGTTAAACAAATTCCTCTCAATACATAAACGTGTAATTATTACCACACATTGTAGACATATCAAAAGTATTTTACACACAGCTTGTTTTAAATTAATACTGCTCCACTATAAAGTATCCAGTTTTATTTACGTTTGTGACCAGTTAAATGTAGCGCCACAACAAATAAAGTTTAAGTATTAGCGGAATAATATTCCATCCTGTCCCAGAGTCAAAACTTTCTTCACCAACGTGTTTCCCAGCCGTATTTTACCTTCACTGCCACGTCGTTAGTCATATATAACTCGTCAGCAGATACACGTCACGCAATGCACCATTACCCTAGTAGAAGTATCTAAATAACCCTGTCAGTTTACAATGATGCTGGACAGCTATTGATTCAGAAGTTTAGAGACTTTGAACCGATTTGATTCAGAATTTAACTCTAAGAATTGTGAGATAATTTTGTTCTTAGCCTCTTCATGAATGAAAGGTTATAATAATAATATCTACTACTATCACAATATATTGTTTTACCTGCTATTTTTACAATAATTAATTGTCGAACATCTGACATTTGAGCAGCACAGGGTTTGATAAAGTCCTCCCATGTTATGTTTGCGAGAGCAGATACACCTGATGATAGTGAACTGTAATGAAATCAGAATCAAAGTGTTAAATACAATTCAAATAACGTGTTGATATATTTCCTAGAAATGTGTATTTACATATTACCCATAGATATACATTTCTGGCGCTTATTAAGGCCACACTGACCTGAGAGAAGCACTGAAGACTGCTGCAAGAAAGAGGCCCGGCATTCCTGGCAGGTTCCGGAAAATGTCGAGCATCATGAAGGGTAATACCTTGCAAATAAACAGTAGTGAAACAGGAACATTCGCCTTTTGGATTTCGCATATACAGCGTTAAAACGTATAAGAATTATCTCCAACTTTATGTATATTTTGTGATTGTCAGGGAATACCAAATACACAAACATTCGTACGAGTATGCATTCCTAACTGTGTGACTGTACCTGATCAAGGTTGGTGGATCTGATTGGATGCCAAAGGATCGCATCTCTTGTAGTCATAGTAACCATATGCCAGAAGACCACTGATGACCGAAAGACTTCCAAACGCAGGTGAGATCAGTAGTCCAAGTAACATCGCCCTGAATGGCAATCCTTCATTAGTCTACTTCACATACACATTATCACTATTGCAGTGTTATGTAATTGACAATAGAGGATTTGACATAACTGTCTGTAATGCATAAGGAAAACACAGCCAGCAGTCACTGTGAAATAATGATTAAGTAAAGAATAATGCTTGCAACAGGATATTTCATACGAACTATATCTTACCTGTAGAATAACATAAATACTTTTGCGTTTTAAGTTATCATTGAACTTGCTATCGTGCCTTCTGGCCTGAGTGAGTGACTTTGTGGATGTTATCCGCTGAAGATATGCAGGCTTGAACAGCCAACCAAATCCAGTGACCACCCTGCCTAGACTGAGGTTCCATACGGTATGGCGAATTGTCGGGTCGATGTCAAATCTAAAGAGAGGTGAAATATGTCGTGATGAAAAGGGAATGAAACACCAGGGTTCATGTTGTTGTAGCATGGCGAAGGTAGGTAACTCACTATCTTCGTGAGAGTACCCGAATAGTTATCCTGAAACAACTGTCTCCAGTGTCTATTCCCAATCTCAATTGTGTTGTACTTACATGAATGTCAGTCTCTCTCCATCCATTATCCTGGACCAAACTTCCTCGATTCCTCCACTATCAATTGTACCCTGTCATCAAGATACAAACCCTTCATTTTTTGCATATCGTATCTTATCCAGTGATTGTGTCATCATCTTTTGAAGGTACACTATTTCCCATCATTACTTCAAAGAATAACTTCCCAGTAATTTAATTGGAAGATATTTCGTGCATTCAATATCATGAGAATTATATACTGCTTTTATTATTAACTGTCTATCATAACATGCCATTAAAACATTCCACACACATATGAACCCGGAAGAGACTTTGAAAGCACAAAGAATCGAAATCAGCAATAATAAATTGGTTACTTGCAAATTATGAAAGCTACGTATAAAAACCAACCGAACAAAAACGTTTATAGCAATTGACATTTTTGCCAAACTTCACCTATATTTCTGAAAGAAATTTGTGTAGAAAGATATTTATCTATGTAACCCGAATATTCCCGGAACAAAGCAAATATCTACGCAGGAAAAAGATATCAATAGAGCATTTTGCTTAGATTATTTAAGCCAACAAAAACATGGTGTCTCTAAATGACCTTCAATATCACTCGAGGAAAATGGGTGCGATGGTTAACAACACAATTAATTCTTATACAAAAAGTAGGTTGGAGACAGAAATGGATCAGGACCTAGATTTTCGAAGCTCTCTTAGTGTTAGCATGGCTGGCTGGCTGGCTGAGTATGGTGTTACGCCGTTTTTAGCAATATTTCAGCAATATCACGGCGGGGGACACCAGAAATGGGCTTCACAAGTTGTACCCATGTTCGGAATCGAACCCGGGCCTTCGGCGTGACGAGCGAACGCTTTAACCACAAGGCTACCCCACCGCCCCAGTGTTAACATGGTCGTAAGTACCGTACATTAACATTAACTTACGACTATCTAGGCCCAGTACACGATTACGTCACTTTGAAAGCAATACTGCTTACCTTGATGATTACCGCCAGCATGCCGATAAACATTAGCATATACTGGAGGACATCCGTCCAAATCACAGCTTTCAGACCACCCTGGAAATATAAGGTCACAAGGCAATAGAGGAGGATTAATGTTTCCTTTTCTCCGGAAACCTGACAAGTAAAAACAGCTATCATGGCTGGTTTTCGTGTCACGTACATGATTGACACAGACTTATTATACGGTTACCACTCGAATGATGACATAATGGTTATGGATGATATGTTTCAAAACAAATGATTTCCTTGTTGCATAGGATCTTGAACAGGTAAACGTCAGATTCCAAGTTGAACTATTCTACAAAATATAATTACATTTTTAGTTTGAGAAAGGGAGTGGTTGGAGTTGTATTGTTACAAACTTGTTACGGGTAATCACACTCTCAGCAACCCTTCCTATACGAATGTAGCACTGGATAGTTTCACTCGGAATTGACGTAAGATGCAAATTGAAGTCAGCTATTGACAAGTTTATCCAATATGATATGATGTACGGGTTGAATGGCTTAGCGAATAGTTTTCGTGGGACCAAACGTTCATGCCTGTGCAGCAATCGTTCCGAACAAGGAATATCGTTGTGACACAATCGTGAAATAAGTATGTTAACATTTGTTCAATATCCATTTAATTGTATACAATAGCCATACAATGGCTCCTTTTTTGTAAATTATACTCTGCTGAATTAGACACGTTTCAACAATTATCTCTAATCGGCAAAATGAAGCATGCCGCTTACATTCCATCAGATGTATACAATGTATTGACTTTCAACACACAAGGTATGTACTAGTTATTAACAATGTCGAGTTTTCAAAAGACGGTTGAACTCACAATGGTGGTGTAGAGAACAGCAGCTGCTGATGTGACTAGGATCGACCAGGTCATAGAGAAGCCCGTCACTGGAACAAAATACAAATTCACTTAACTATACCAAAACGGTTGGTGATAACCTGTAAACTCATGTATTGGCATTGACCATCCGAACCAATCCATTCAGGATGCTGCGAGTGGTGGTGATAACACATAGAGATAAACGATAACGAGCACGTGTTGGGAAAGTTTATACGAAAGGGCAAAAGTAATAATTAATGTAAGCCATTTTACAAGGAAATGGCGATACTTGCTAAAACACTTGTATGTATATGAACATTTGTGACTCTATCACTAATCTATCTTAATCATTTGATGTAAAATATATTATTACCACACATTGTAATCTTCATTCAGTTGGAGGAAATAAAGAAAATCTATCTATCTATCTCATCTCCTGAAGCTTGATTCCAGAATCAGCTTACTTCTTTACAAGCAAACCGGTGTTTGATACTTTAGGTAAATCAGACCATGCTCAGCCTCTTAGCGAAACCTTTTTCATTGGAATGGTTTCGTTAAATATTAGACTATGACAGTTCGGTAATGTTAACGATTGGAATTTCCCCAGTTTGCAGCAGGTGTGGTAGTGTTGATAAGATGTCGTTCAGGTTTAAGATGAAGTGCCCATAGGTAATTAGACTTAAGCTTAGTCTCTGAATAAATGTGCTGAAATTGAACAGGAGACAAAATGAAAAGGGAGATTCTGGACCTGAGGAATTATTATTATTTTTCTTATAGGATATTTATATAGCGCACATATCCACGCAACTAGTGCATCCTCAAGGCGCTGAATCTAGATTTGCTTCACGTAGGGCTGTAGCATTGCAGAAAGGACTAATAATGTGATTCGGGGGCTGTGAGACAGACTTATAGATAATATGTGTGGTGGTTCTCATGTGACGTAGTGAGTGAGTTAGAATTGAACGTCACCTCGGTAATATTTCAGCCATATATATACGAGAAATATCATGTGACGTAAGTGTGACGTGTAATGACAATCAATTAACCAATACCAATACATTGATTAACCCAGGTGAACTTGAAATATATCAGGCCAGAGACATCGCTTCATGTTTGTCATATCAAGATCTATGTACAAAGATTCAGAGTGACTATAAACTCTCCACAAGGCTGTATGCCAAGAGTGATGACTTTCCAGTAGCCTACATCCGTGATCTGATGCAGAAGAAGTGGGACACCCAAGTAGGTATCAATAAATTACATGCAATAAAACCCTATATCGGTTACACCTACTTGGGTTTTCAGTCCAGATTTGAAGAGGTCATTATGCGACGATGTCGCATTGGCCACAGTGGATATACTCACGAATATGTATTGAAAGGCGAAGATCCTCCGTTTTGCATCCCTTGTGATGAATGAATCACGGTCAAGCATATCCTGCTTGACTGTGTTGAATATTCCATCACTAGGGATAACTATTTCAAATCACGAACTATGAAGGATCTTTTTAATAATATTAGTTCTCATTTAATTATTGCATTTCTAAAAGAATTAGATTTGTTCAATGATTTGTAAATAGATAAATGGTATTTTAAAGATGGTAGTATTAATTAGCAACTGTGATTGTTAGTGGCTGTATCCTCGAAAGGGGTTAAAGTATCGTAAAATTATTGTCCTCCTGAGAGGGTATGTAAGCCCCAAAACTTTCAAAGTCAATTTAAACGTATCAGGAGTTTTAAACGTAGTAGTCTTGTTATTTTAATTTTGGCTAACATTTCGTAGCGTAGAATATGAGTTATTTTAACTTATGGCTAAATTGTCTAAACTTGCTGACGGCTGAAGGGATGGTGTAAATCCAACTACCTAGGGTCCATGCAGGTAGCAAATGTACTGTAAGTCCCCATGGTCCCTAGTATGGTGATCTACCTTCAGTCGTTAGCAATCTACAGTCTGTTTTTATATTGTATTGTCATTTCTAGTTCCAATATTTTAGATTTAATTGCTAGTTTTAAATGGATATCTGTGATACACTAGTAGTTTTACTGTTCTTCGTCAACAGGTTTTTTAATTTCTAACTTTATTCATCTTTATTATAATTATAAAATGTTTTCGTCACGATATGGCTGAAATATTGCCGATGTGACGATAAATATTAACTCACTCACTCCTACTCGCAACATGTTCTGAGTTATGTCGTCATGTGTTTGTGGAAAAGTTTTCAGTTTCTGCTTTCTGCGAGAATACAAACTGCCCTTCTCTGTTGATACCGAAGGCGTGGTACAGGTGTGCTACGTTAGTCTTGAGGGTGTGTTACAGTTTGGGACAGATGTTGCGCATGTCGTGTTTGCTACTGGGTATACGGTTATGGTGACGATCATGCATGGCACAGATATATTTTCCATTACCTGCCTCCAATGCCATGCCTTGTCCAAACAAGATGATGCCCAAGTAGAAAAGCTGAAAATGCAAGAAATGGTATATGGCTCAATGTCTTCAGTTTGGGTATGGAGTGGAATGGTATTCTGTGGCGTCACAACCCATTAGCAAGCACAACTGATTAGTGTTAATTGCAGTTGAATGGTTAACGCTACCCGGACGAGTGCCGTCGAGAACATGTACTTTTAATGCAAATGCAAAACGTAACGTTACATTGGAGACTGATAATTCCCGCCCATACGATGCAGGTCTTGTAACAGACTTTTTGAGGCAGCAGATCATTGCTGTATATCTAAAGCATCACCTACCCCCCTCTCCTTAAAAGGTCTTCTTCAAGGATCAGACGGTTAACATGCACATACATTTATGACGAAGATCAACTTGAATGTTAATAACAAGTGTTTTGTCTTATTCAGGGTCGATTAATCGCATGCTGCATGTCCGCAGACGTTGAATGTAAGTTAACTGACAATATATTATAAGGCTCATATTGCTTAAAGCACCGCGATATGGCATTCCGCAAAAAAATGTATGCCGAAAGCTGGAGTAAACGATCAATAGATACTCATACATATGTTACTTGACCTTCTACGATGAGGAACGTGGTTTCATATGGTATCAACGTTTCTTCTTATTATAAATTAACGATGTTATTTAAGAATTCCTTTGTGCATTCATTCACAGACTCGGGCAGAGTAGCAACCAGTCGTCATTCAAGTACAGAAACTGATAATGTATGGTGTAAATTCCTGAAAACACAATGCTAATTAGTGATTAGTTTTGAGTATCACGGACATCATGCATTGCACTGTGTGTATCAGCGAGTCTTACGTTCTCAACACATCCAAGCACTGTCACTATGAGGCGCAGAGCTCGAGACTTGAAGCGGCCCTCAAGGAACTGAAATATAGCAAAAACCTTTCAAAAGATAGGTCATTTATATACTCTAAGATTAAAGGCTTCAAATCTGTTAGATCGGCATTTTACAAGAACTCTTGCATTATAATATAATGACCTATAGTTGCGTCTGTTGTTAGTGTGGAACACATTTTTGAAATGGCCAATGAGGTCACGACTCTACTGTAACACAAATAGTGCGACGTTTCTATAATTGTTCAGCTACAAAACAACTCCTTATATGGTTACCTGGAACGGGCTAGAGATATTGAGTCTCCTCAGAAGTGCCAAAAGAAGGAAGATTTCCAGAAGGTTTCCCACGGAGAAGGCCATCTCACTGAGAATCCACATGATGCCATGGCCATAGGCCTCTGCTGACGCTCCAACCATGGTAATTGACGAAGTGAACGTCGCCATCAAAGACAGCGCGACGGGAAGGAAGGTCATCGAACGTCCAGCCAGAAGGTATTCGTCCAGCCTACCATGCCTGCTCACAATGGCGTAGTATATGCCGATGCTCACAGACACGGCCACCATGACGCCAAACACTGTGTAGTCCCATTTCCCAAACGCAAGAGACTCCATTGATGCGGGTAGTAAACGTAATAAATCTAAATGTATATAGAGATATAGCACATTGAATATTCTACAAGATGAATGGATTATCAAACAAGCCACAGGCTAACAATACCAAGAGATATTTGCAGAAGTATGCAAGATCACCAACCTACTGACATAACTTTAACCTATTTCTGCCACATGTAACCGTGAGTTAAATACATTTAGTTCATTACCATATCATTTGCAGAAGAAGCACAAAACACCGCCTGATAATAATTCATAAACATGTGCGTATGATGTAGTCATACACACACCAATGGATCTTTACTTATGATAATGGAAAAGAGTTTGTTTTTTTCTTTATTGACTAGTGACACTCGGCTGATAGTCGAGTCTGTTTGGTCCTTGGGGCTGACGGTATATTTATTTGTGTGTATTTATGTAAATCAAAAATGAATAAATTTTATCATGTTGAATACAGACATCATTGTAGCAAAACAATCCTGCTTAATACAAAACTTCCATATCTTTTGGATGAAATATACCTCAAACTACATAAAAAGTGATTTCAGGGAATGTGTCTAAAATTTCAATCTATTTTTCAGTGATTATATTATGTACAATCCCTGTAATTTCAGTGATTGTGTATAATCACTGAGTGAATCAGACATCATACATTATCACTAAAAGGATTTTACATATTCACTGTAACATTTACATGAATATCATGGTAAAATGATTGTGAAACGTTCGTTTTACAGTGTCAGGGCATGATAAACAAGATAACCTCACCTTTTCGTCAACATCTCATAACTATACTATTCAAAAAAGAAACGCATAACCCAGAAATCTGTTGCGAAAATGTTGCATTTTCAAACATGTATAACTCGTCCACAAATAGACTTTAATAAATGAATTTATACATCAGTTTAGAAGAAGGGAATGTCTATACAACCAAGGGATAATTTTAGATAACGGAGACGATGAGCGCGATGGTGACAACGTAGCATGGTCCCGGCGTTGGGTCTCCTGGCTCTCAGTCCAATCTCACTCAACCTGTTCCGTGCAGTTTGACCGGATATCCTCCGAAGTCCAGGCAACCTGGCCGGGTGGCTCTCACACGTGGCAGTACGATCACGCAAATGTAGTACCCGGATGTACCGTTCTTGGGCTGCAGTGGTGACTCGAGGTCTGCCTGTACGGGGACGGTCATTTGTTATACCTGTTTGGCTGGAATGAGCTGCAAGCAGTGATATCGTGCTCAGACTAGCATTCAGACGCCTGGCAACAGAAAATTGGTAATCTCCAGCGTGTATTCTTTCAGTGGCGATGTTCCGTGTCGCAGCGTCAAGACTTGGCGTAGTGATTTGACCTTGAAACTCCTTCAAAACGGATCCTGATTTCCGAAAGTAATCTGGATTTTTAGTGCAGTGCATGACAGTGCATGCTCTTTGCTGCTCAATTTCAACTGGAAGGTGATTTCTGTTGCGTTGTGGCGATGCCCTTTTAATTCTTGTAAGAAATCTCATCAAAATCAACATTTTCAGGTAAAGTCGACTTATCACTTGTGCAATTCTGTAAAACCATGTTATCAACACTTTTGTAACATATTTTGACGAATGTTTGAACACAATAGGTAATTAATAGATTTTTTAAAATGCAAAACGCCTATGCGTTTCTTTTTTGGGATAGTATATTTGATTCCTTAACATTACAGGAACACACTTTCCGTTTATTATAATTACAATTTTGATCCAAAGACATCCCAGTTCCTATGCAATGTTTGTAATGTTCTTATGTAATCAAGACATTTATGTTGCGTGAATCATTCGGTTTATAAGCCTTTGTAAAAGGTCATACTGTGGAGGATAACTTGCACAGCGTGATAGAACATGACAACTTGAGATCTTGGGAACTTACACTATCCCATGACTCATGATGTCTCAGCACAGGACCCGTGAAGGTCCGGGTTAGAATATTGATCTTCAGTAACCCATGCTTGTAAGAGGGGACTAACGGGATCGGGTGGTCAGGCTCGCTGACTTGGTTGACACATGTCATCGGTTCCCAATTGTGCAGATCGATGGTCATGCTATTGATCACTGGATTTTCTTATCCAGACTCGATTATTTACAGACCGCCGCCATATAGCTGGAATATTGCTGAGTGCGACGTACAACTAAACTCACTCACTCACTCACTCACTCACTCAGCACAGACACTAAGTACTAAGAATCCATGTCCGCACTGACGGGATCGTTGTTTGTCACCGATGCATAATTATTCAAATACTGTTTTCGTATGCTAAACAGTTGGATGCAGAAAACATGAAGATCAATGCATGATTAATAGTGAAGAACGTTTAAATATTCATATTCTCATAGCAACAATAAGTAATAGAAAATATTTTTATTTTGCTGCAGCTGGCTTTTAATATTGAACATGTTGAAACCCTAGCAGCGAAACCATTGTCATGACATATCATCGTTGACTACGTAACTTTGTAGACACCGTATGACAACAATCGGCATTGCGTATAAGCACGCCGCGTTTCTGAAATTATAGATAAATAGAGGATATGTTGTGAATGTTGTCAAAAACATGTATATTTCATCGAGTGGTCTGACAAAGCTGATATGTTCACTGGTGGCTGCGCCACTCGTTATTTGTTATATTTTTATCATTGTGTATAAATGATCGAGACATCGAGTAAGTCTGCATTTTTTTACGCAACCCAACTACAGTCTAGCCCTTGAGTTCCAGGCAAAAGTGATATAACATGTTAATCTACTCAGTGAAAATACCATTTTTATTTTCACCAATATTTACAGTATTTCACCCTTAAGAATATAATAAATCGGTATACTTTCCATTGCCCGGATGTTTCAGGTCATATGAGGACAGCACAAGACACAATGCCAGTACAAATTAGATAATGATACATTCCCGACAACAAGGTATTGACAAAACACACGAACCTTTTGCGAATTCTATATTAGGACAATGTAATGCAATTACAATAGTGTTTCACAATAAATCACACTGTCCTTCAAATATTTTTCCATATGTTCTCGAGTGCTCCAGGAGAACAGATAAATTGCCTTTGCCTTGTAAGTCGGATCTCATGGTGTCAATCACCTGACTGTCTGGCCCAGACTCGATTATTTATCGAGCATGCAGCTGTAACATTGCCTCGGTGTTAAACAAACAAACAAAATAACAACACATACTCATAATATAGTCGGATTCCTTGTGTGTGGACGTGGAAAGGGTTTTGACGCATGTATTTGCATGTGTTCTTGACAGGTGGCATCGGTGGGGCAGGATACACTCACATTTTGGCGAATACCCGGTACTGTCAATATTTGATTCATAAACACATGATCATGGAAAAGTAACATCAACTCTGCTTTCAACACAGATTTTCCAGTATGAACGTGACATGAATATGTTATAACATGCTATGTAGATATACTTCTCATCACCTGGTTGCAGTCACTATTAGCTATTGGCAATTGTGATGAAAATTATTAAGGTTGAATAGGTCTATGTTTCAAACAAGACGATACAGGTACATGTGTATCGCTGGGTATCGTATCGTCTGAGAAAATTATCGATGCATTGTGAATCATGGCATGTCCAGGATTAAATATAGATCATTCAAATAGACTTGAAAAAAGTGAGTGAGTGAGTGAGTATAGGTTACTGGCACTCCAAGGGTACGCCACTCTGACAAGCGAATTTATCGTGTTTTTTATATCATGATGATAACAGTCCATTTGTATGGCGTTTCTCCAAGCAGAATGTCACGTTCAAAGCCTTTATTACACCGGCAATTCTCAGTCCCAATGGGAGAATGCGACCTAAGCTGTCTTTGAGGTGCTGGAGGGTTGAAGTCATATTGCCATCTCATTCTACCTGGTATCCACTGCTGGCTGAACAGAGGCACATTTCGGCCAAATTCAACAGCAAAACACTCTCGCAGGAGCCAAACTGTCGAACATGGTCACCTATTCGAGGACTTCACCTGGTGTTTATGCCGATATGGCCTGAATTTTATTGCCGCCTTGAACATTATTTCAGTTTTTCAAAACCTGTCAGCTTGATATTGGAGAAATGTCCAAAGTGATTAATGTGTATGGTGCTGGGATTCGAACCCTATGATCATAGCTTTCTGGTGCGTCTAAGAGACGCAACCCTGCACAGCGAATTACCCCGCCTAAAATGACAGGGCCACCGTGTGCCGTCATTACAATGAAAAAGAGCGCAAAGAATTTGTCTTGCTGCTAAAACACGTTTGATTGGCTAAATACACCGACATTTACAAAATATGAAATAAGTTTCAAAGCAACTATGAAAGATTTACAAAAAGTTCAAGAAAAGCAGCGCCCCGTTGCCATTACGAGTACTACTATATTTTAAAACCATTGGAAGTAACAAAAGCCCACAGAAGTCTAAAATAGAGTACAACTTTTTCTGCGCATGCGTAGACTTATTGACTTTCTACACATGCGCACCGGTAAACGAAAAAGGCGACAATGCAACATATTCATTATGTCGCGTTGCGCATTTTTAGGCTTTTTATATATGGGGCGACAATGCGACAACGCGACATATTTTGTAAAATTGTCGCTATGCCGCATTGTCGCCCTTTGGATGAATAGAAAAATGTTATTCAAAACGCGACAATGCGATACAGCAACAATGCGACAAATGGCCGAAATGTCGCATTGTCGCATTTTCGCGCTTTGGTTAATTTTGCCTCTTTTTGCTTGATTTTGAGAGGGCGACAACGCGACAATGTCCCTTTAGGATTCCATAGATACGCCCTGTAATCTGAAAGTCTTCTGATTATGTGCAGAGAAGAATGCAAAAAGCAAATTTAGCAAACAATGGGCAAGGTTGTTCCCATTTCTCAAATGCTAGTGGGTACACAGTGGATGATTATAATAAATTATTCCAATTTGGGTACATGTACAGAAAAGTGCCATGATAAAAGTGCGATATGACGCCTATTAAATGACGGTTTTTAGACGGTATAACATTTACATGTGATGAGAGGATGTTGCCAATATTCATCATTTAAAATCGTTTATGATTTGCATGTTCCAGTAGTGTCCGCGACTTTCGGGAAAGG